AAAAAAAAAAAAAGTCAGGCAAAAAAAAAAAAAAATATATATCCCTTTGACTAGCCCTTATTTTATACCCCTGTGCAACTGAAAATTCTGACATAGACAGGTAAAAATGGGGGAAAAAAAAAAAATCTGGTAAAAGATGAAAACTTTTGGAATGGCGAGTTAACAAAAGACAATAACGCAGTTTGCAAAGTTTAAACAACTGGCATGGGTATAGACACGTCTGTCTAACGTCAATTGGTATTCTATAGGTCGCATTTATTTTGTGTAAATTAAAAATGATTCCTTCTCTCCCAGCGCATCATGTTGACGAGTTAAGTTGACCTTCTCGTTTGTGTAGTGCAGGTCGATGTGAAAAAGTGGACAGCGCAAAAGGCGCCAAGGGGAGTGTTTAAACATGTTGGTAACGCTTGTGCAATCCTCACGTGAAGATACACTAAGGAGTCATTTTTTCACATTTTTTCTATTCACACCCTTGTTGGAAAAGACGTAGAACCATGTGAACTGCACGAAATGACCAAACACACCGTTGCGTAATTTTTACCCCTCCAGGGATGAACAACACATGGGGTGTCATAAACACAGCGCCGATTTATGAAAAGGCGCATGCCCGTGTGAGCTTAGGGAACAGTGTTTGCCTGCCCCGAAACTTGCGAAAAAGAAAAGTATTAACAGGAGTGGACATATATTTGCTGCGGAATAACTTTTCACTAACATTTGCTTGTACTTCCCCATTTTTCCAAAATGTGTGAGAAGGCAGACGGGAGATCTTTGTTAAGGGAACCATGTAAATGGAGGAGAGTTCACGGGGAAAGCACCACTCAGGAAAATGGACACCTGCCGATTTGGCAACTTATGCGGAATTTTTAATGTGTTGTGAGAAAAGCCGCTTATATTTTGCCTTCAAATTTTAGGACTTAACAAACAGTGCGGTGCGAAATGGATTTTGAAAAAGCAGTGATGGGGGGATGGAAAAAAAATAATACAAAATAAACAGATTTGATTACCTCCTTTTCACATTGGTATATACATTTAGGGGATTTCATATAACAACAGAAAAAAAAAAAAAACACATTGGCGTGTTGGAAACATGTAAAAAAAAAAAACCCCGTGTCGTCACATTTAAAGTGTTGCCTGTCCTCTTGGATGTTTTCCCACAAGTAGGGAATAATTCAACCGAAAGGCTCAAAAATGAGTACAGTACATGCTGCCTTGTATTTAATTTATGTGGTTATGTATTGTAGGTATTGCTCGTATTTGTATGCCGACCGATTTATCGTTTACTTATTGGCTCACCGCTTAGCAGCGTCATGGGCGTAGCTGGAAAATTTTGTATGCTCCCCCTTTATCATACGGCGTGCACAATGACAATGGGTTAGGACCTTTCCCACACGCAACATCCCTTACATTTGCCGCACCCACATAAGAGGATATAAAAAACAATAAAACACATTGTGAGATGTAGCAAATGGCCCACTGACTGGTCGACTTGGAAATGCAATAATTTTTTTTTTTTTTTTTGTTCATACATTTTTGCCAAACTGTTCAACCATGCGGCCACGCTTGTAGAGTTTTTTTTTTTTTTTTTC